GCAGCTGCAGTCTCCAGATCCGGCCAGCAGACTGGCCCCACACCACAGATCTGGCCCACAGGGCTAGATGAGTTGACCACCACTGTTCTAAAATAATGTCATTGGTCAGTGACTCTGCCTCTACTCCCAGAGTTGCCCATGTAATCTTCCTTTGGTCTCAAGGAAAACAAGTATGGCTCTCAGTGATTTATCTCAAAGCATTTCTGAAATATTTATCTGCTTCTCTGGAGGGCACTGGCCATGATCAAGTTTTCAACCTAACACAGTCTTTGTATCTGTTTTAATAAATTAGTGTGGATGCAGTGATACCGGTCTGGGTTTATTGCAGTTCAGTCTGTTGTGGTACCGTAGCTTACATCAGTAAGCTTGTGCGCACACACACAGGGAGAACTGCACAGACTTAATTAAGCCATTGCCTAATCTTTGTGTACACAAGCCCTAAAGTATTTTATGTACCCTGCCAAGATTGTCTTCTGGTCTGATGCTGTCCTTTGGGCGAGGTACACACATTACACTTTTACCAGCATAAGTGATCAGAAATCGGTCTATACCCATAACAGATCAGACACTTGGCATACACAGACTGGTTTAAAAATGGCAGAACCCAGGCTAAGATTTGCCCCCCGCCACTAAAGGGTGAATGTGTGTTCTGTTCACTACTAATCTAAAGTATGCAGCTTACAGAAAACCATGCAACTTAGATCGATTCCGCCTTGGGCTTTTTGAATGTCTGTACCTAGTAGGTCTCTGCTAAGCTTCAGTCCCTGATTCGATGTGGTAGAGATGTGACTGAATCTCTGCATCTGAATCGAATCAGAGGACCCTTTAATCTCTCCAAATCAAATTGGAACCCTCTGAATTGATTCGGAGAGATTTGGAAAGAGTCAGCGGTTTGGACATAGACACAGCTTAAAATTTTTTTTTTACATACCTCTAGGTAGCAGCACAGCTGGTGAATACTGTGATGCTAGGACGCATGGAGCATGCCACAGGAACGCAGGGGGTCCCAGCGCGCTTGGCAGTAGACCCGGAAGTGGACCAGAAGCACTTCCAGTCCGCTTCCAGGTCCGCCAGAGAGCATGCAGGGGAGCCCCCCAGCGTCCCCCAGCTCTGGTGCCTCCTGGGTCTGAGGGGGCACCCAGGGTCCTCCTGCAGGCAGTTGCTGAGCCAGAAGGTAAAGGGCGGCCCCCCAGTGCGCTCCCCTGCAGACCCAGAAGTGGACCGAAAGTACTTGCGGTCCACTTCCGGGTTCACCGCCGAGCATGCGGGGGGGTCCCCACGTTCCTGTGGGATGCTCCATCCACCCCAGCATTGCAGCGTTCACGAGCCATGCCTGGCACCTTAAGGTATGTAGAAAAAACATTTAAAGCTGTGTCTATGGCTTAATCACTGATTCTCTGAATTGGCATTGAATCTTCAGATTTGGCCGAATCGAATTAGGGACAGTGATCTGAATCAACTAATCGAATCCGAATTGAATAGGGCCCACTTCGCCCACCCCTAGTACCTAGCCATAATGGAATGATTTGACTAAGCAGGTGTCCTCCAATAGTTGAACTTGAACAGATTATTGAGTTACTGTGCAAGTACTGGGCTTCACTCTCAGGGGTGTTTCCAATATTTCTATTTTAAAGAAACTATTTCTACTTGAATGTTCTCAGATGTATTAGGTTCCTCAGCATGACATAGGATTTCCCAGAGATGATAGGGGAAATGTTAACATATAGCTGTATTCTTCCGGTCTGACAGGAGGTAAGGTAGAGATGCACCTTTATATACTGACTATATCTGCGATGCATAACCTTTCATGAGCCCAAGCTCACTTCATCAGGTGCTAGGCAGCTCTGATTCAGTTAGACTATGAACTGCATCTCCACCCTGCCTTCTGCTTGTCTTCAGCCTAACTTGGCTAATTATCTCCTGACAGTCTGAATTATTAGCCATATAAATTTATTTAATAGTAGTGTTTAAAGGCCTCAGTCTTGATTAAAACCCCATTGTACTAGGCGCAGATAGGATCTGTTCAGTGTGCCAGCACAAATGAGCTGGAGAAAGGAAGGGAGCATATGGAAGCTCTTTTCTCCTTTGGACCAATGCATTTCCAACAGAGCTGCTACATTCCCCTCATGTAGATAGGTGAAGAAGGGCAAGAGACTTTTGACACTGCTGCTTTCCAGGGTGTCCAGTTTTGGGGGCTCAGGAAACTAAGGCTGTTAACAGGTAGAGAATGACCTGGTACAACTTCCTCCTTCCACAGAACAGCAGAGATTGGGAGGGAGACAGTGACTCCCCAAAGCAAAATCTATTTTATTTTATTTTATTGCTCTGGAGCACTTGTTAGAACATATTCAGCAGCCACTACTCATGCAAGCTTCTTCTCTCGTTCTCTGCAGTATATTACGTAGCGCCTTGCCCAGTCTAAAACATGAAGAACCTTATTCTGGACTGGGTTATTAGCAGGGATCTGGGTTTTTTGTTTGCCATGGAAAAATGCAGTAAAATGTGGATTTTTCATTTTTAAGAGAAAAACGCAGATTTTCTCTTTTCAAGCAGCAGGGATGGTGGTGTGGAGTTGTGCCCCCACGGCTAATGGGTGGACAGGGGGTACCTCATCATGGCAGTGTGGGGCTCCCAGTGGCGGCACCGAGCCTCCCCACCCCACTCTGGCCTGCCACACCAGGTCCTGCCTACTGGGCCGCGGAGGCCCTGGGTGGCAGGCAGCAGGGCAGGGAGGGAGCCCTGAGTGCACAACTGCCAGCCCGCATGTCGTACACTTAGACTTCAGGAAGGCCTTTGATACGGTATCCCACACCATACTGGTAAACAAATTAAGAGGCTGTGACTTGGATGACTACACAGTCCGGTGGGTGGCGAATTGGCTAGAGGGTCGCACCCAGAGAGTCGTAGTGGATGGGTCAGTATCGACCTGGAAGGGTGTGGGCAGTGGGGTCCCGCAGGGCTTGGTCCTTGGACCGATACTCTTCAATATCTTCATCAGCGACTTGGACAAGGGAGTGAAGTGTACTCTGTCCAAGTTTGCGGATGATACAAAACTGTGGGGAGAAGTGGACACGCCGGAGGGCAGGGAACAACTACAAGCAGACCTGGACAGGTTAGACATATGGGCAGAAAACAACAGAATGCAGTTCAACAAGGAGAAATGCAAAGTGCTGCACCTAGGG